ACGCCTTCCTCAGGGCCACCTTCCCCCCGCTTTGCCGTGAGCTCTCTGCAGCATGAGACCCGCGAGGCACATCGGGGAGCGTTAACCCCGGCGCCTGCTCCTCACATGCCAAAGGATCCACGCCGATGGTTGCACACATGTCCTGGAACTGGACCCGGAACTCGGGGTTTTTCCGGATCTCTTGCTTGTGTTTGCTGGCAAACTCCTCCAGGTTGGTCCGGAACATGTCCAGCTGCTTCGACATCTGAAAGGGAACCGCAGCGAAGGGTTTCTGGCTTCGCGCTCCTCTCACGCCGCTCTTCCATCAGCCCCCGCCAGGCACTACGGGAGGCTCTCGAGAAGCAGGTCTCTGATGCGCTCCCTACCCAGTGCTGACGGCCTCCGAGGAAGGAACCGAGATAAAAGTCACCGCATGGCCCCAGAGCTCTCCACACCACTGAACACAAACCAGCCCCACAGGGCAAAGGGGGCCTGGCTCACAAGAGCGGGAGGAGCAGCCCCACCAGCCCCACCGCTGCCCGAGCTGCTCACGCCGCGGGGGGGTCCCCACCTGGGCCAGTTGGTCCTCGGCCAGCACCGTCCCCCGCTCCTTGTACTTGGCCTGCAGGGGGAAAGCGCGGGGATGGAGCCGGAGCCGGAGGCCCCGGGGGGACCCGAGGCAGCCGCGGCGCCTGCCCCGTCCCCGGCAGCGCTCAGGGCCCGCGCGGGTGCGGAGCGGGGAGCGCCCGGGTCCCCTCCCGCGGTACCTGCGGAGCGCGGCGGCTCCCCCCGAGCCCGGCCCGGGGGTCCCGGCGCCTCAAACGGGCCTGAACCCCCCTCCCCCTCCCTCCCGGTACCTTCCCTCCCCCCCCCCCCCCCGGTACCTTCCCCTCCCCCCCTCCCGGTGCCTTCCCCCCCCCCCCCCCCGGTGCCTTCCCCCCCCCCCCTCCCGGTGCCTTCCCCCCCCCCCCTCCCGGTGCCTTCCCCCCCCCCCCTCCCGGTGCCTTCCCCCCCCCCCTCCCGGTGCCTTCTCCCCCCCCCTCCCGGTGCCTTCCCCTCCCCCCCTCCCGGTGCCTTCCCCCCTCCCCCCTCACCTCCGCGAGTTTCCTCTTGGCGATGGCGCCCGCGCCCACCCCCCGCCGGTGCATCCCGCTGCCCGTCGCGCTGCGTCTGACGTCATCTCCTCGCGACGGGCGGTGCCGAACGGCAGCCTTCCCCCCCCCCCCCCCCCCCCCATGGGCACCCGTGGGTGCTCCTATCGTGTAACGGGGACACCCCCCCCCACCCTGGGGGCACTGAGGGGCTCGGGCTGAGGGGGGGGCTTAGGGTTAGAGTTAGGGGGCCCTGGGGTGTGTGGGCAGTGGGGGTTATGGGGGGGAGGCCTTGTTTGGGGGCTCCCTGTGTGGTGAGGGGTGCCCCGGGGGGCACGGCCCTCACTGGGGGGTTCTGCCCCCCCCGTGCTGCATGAGGGGCACCCCCAAAGTGAGCCAGGTCCCTGTGTGTGGGGCTGGAGCCCCTCTGTATGGGGGGGGGGGGGGAGGGCCAGGGCTCGGTTCCTCACGGGCTCGGCTGGATCCCGCACCCCGAGGTCAGTGTTTGATCCGGGCGAGCGTCCGGAGCCTGGGGTGCCGTGGGCAGGACGGGCCGGGGGGGCAGCCGCAGGCCTGGTCCCCACCACACAAGGGGCACTGTGGGTCCTGGGGGCCTTGCTTGGGGGCACGCTTGTTCCCGTGGCCGTTTAGCGGTGGTTTGTGGCCATCCCCAAAGCAGCGCTCGGCCGAGGGTTGTTTCAGCTTCAAAGGAGACTCTTTATTGCTGGCATGAGCACAACAGACAAGCTGCGACAGAACAGAGCGAATGGAAGGGTCCTCCCTCCTCCCGCGCCGTGAGGGGATGGAGAGCGCTCCTCGGGAGGGCCCTGCGGTTACGCGGTCCTGGCAAAGCAGAGGGGAGAGGGAACCACATGAATCCCTATGGGATTGCGCTGACCCCATTTGGTTCCCGTAGGGAGCAAGGCACAAGGTACTGCTTTCTCTACCAGCCACCTGCCTCTGCTCCCTCGAGAAGCCGTTTGGACAGCAAGGTGTGTATCCAAGTCTCTAACAGTAAGTAAGGTAAAGAAGAGCTGCCTCTTGTTTCTTGTATTCGTGGCTGGTTCATCCCTGTTTGTTCTTGGGAGCACCCAGTGGTCACCTAAGGCAACCCTAAACCCACTGACTGAGCGCTGCAACAGACACCTTGGGGACAAGGGCTGGAATGGGGCCCGTAGGGATGCTTTTGTAACCATAGGAGTAGGGAGAGCAGGCACTCACGTTGCCCTGCAGAGATCAGTGGACATCAGCCATGTCAGGAACTCCTGGTGCAGAGCATCCTTCAAACCTTCTGAACCTTCCAGAGAGCTGCAAGAAATGAGCCAGGCCAGAGAGACAGGGGAGAGGCAGGGATTCAGACACCGCGTAAGAGCCTCTCACAGGGATGTTTTCCTTGTCTTCCAACGTCTTTGACTCAGATAAGCCCTCAAAAGGCTTTAACCTCCTTTTGCCATGGTGAGCTCCTTGCACTCAACACTGCCTTGCTCTTGGCACGTTTGGGCTGCCAAGGGGGGGTGAGAAGGAGCAGCCCAGTGCCCCCCCCCTGCACCCCACCTCCTCCTGGAGCCAGCAGGCAGCGGAACAAAGGCAGAGCGTGGGGGAAGCAGCGTCTCTGCTCCAACCTCACAAAAGGAAGGCTTTGTTTGCAAGCAGCACTTTCCTCTCCAAGTCGGGGGGTTTATTTGCAATTAAGCAGATTAAGGGAGACACTAGGAAGCAGTTTGGGGTTTAATGAAGCTAATCAAGCTGATTAATCCCGAGCATCAAAGTGGTCCCTTCCCCCTCCCAGCCCAGGTTGGACAAACATCTGTCAGGAGCAGTTTGGGGCGCGCGGATCCTGCTTTGGAGCAGGGGTCAGGCTCGGTGACCTGCCGAGACCCCTCAAAGCCCTCGTTGCTTTGATTGTGTGCTTGCAGGACGAGGAGCGGTGCTCAGGGTCTCATCTCCTGAGGGCCCTGCTTGGGCCACCCCTGTGAACCAGATCTGCGTGCGTTTCCCTGCCCCGGCTCATCCCCCGCACCCTGCTCTCTAAAGCCTTTTCCACGCAACAAGCTGTTCAAGACAACAAATCCTCCCCGGGTTCCCGTCCTGGGCGCCTGTCCCGTGACTCCCTGCAGTTCCAGATCCCATGGGGTTTGCCGGAGGACACCAGGATTGTGCCTCAAAGGATGCGGGCTGCGTGCGGCCAGGGCTTCGCTTTTCCCTTCTTGCCACCATTTTAGGCTTAAGCAACAGCAACCTGTTAGGTTTTGCAGAGCCCCCTCCCCGTGCAAGGAAATGTGTCCCTCCTTTCCTCGGTGGGGGCTGGCTTTCAGCACACCGAGTGCCCGAGAGCAGCTTTGCCTTTGGGGTTTGCTGTTTGAACGTTTGTTGGGGGAGGTGAAGCCGGCTCTTGACAGGCTGTGGATGTGCTGACACAGCACAAAGCCGGGATGCACGAGCGTGCTCGCAGCCAGATGGCTTAGGAGATGAAGGCACGAGCTGCAGCAGCGCAGAGCTCCGCATGGACTGGGTTCCCCTGCGCAGGAGAACCTATTCTGAGCAAGCTCCTATCGCCATCGTTATCGTGACAGTAACCTTGTGGTGGTGATCTGAGGGAAGAACTGGTTTGTTTCCTTTTTAAGAGATAAACTGCTCAAGGCACTGAGTGTGTGAACGAGTTTCCATAGGAGCCCAGCCTGGTTTGGGTTGAAGGGACCTGAAAGCTCATACAGTTGCAACCCAGGGGCAGGGACACCTTCCACTAGCGCAGCTCGCTCCAAGCCCCATCCAGCCTGGCCTTTGTTGTTCCCCCCCTCTCTCTTTGGTGGATTGATCTAAATCAAAATGTTCTGCAGAAATGTATCACTTAAATCTCATTTGCATGGAGAACATCCTAGGGAAGAGCTTGGTTTGGGTCACACCAAAGGGCTTGGTTTGGGTCACACCAAAGAGCTTGGTTTGGGTCACACCAAAGAGCTTGGTTTGGGTCACACCAAAGAGCTTGGTTTGGGTCACACCAAAGAGCTTGGTTTGGGTCACACCAAAGAGCTTGGTTTGGGTTATACCAAAGAGCTTGGTTCTGGCTTCTCTGTTCTGGTGCTGTTCAAGGAGCGGGTGCGCTTCAGCCCTACCCAAAAGCCAGGCTTTGAGGTTATCAAAGTGCTGGGGTTCGGTGAGGCTGTGCTGACATTTGCAAAACAACAGCCACAAGAAGACCCCCATCGTGGTCTCTTTTCAATCTGTGATTTGGGAGAAATGCGGAGGTTTTGGGGGAGGAGGAGTTACAAACCCGGGACATTTCCTTTCGACATCGAAGTCCTTTTGTGTGCCCCCGCCCCACCGTTACCATTGATACCTGCCCAGGACGTCCCTTCGGAAGTTACCCCCTGGGACCCCTCACCCCTCCCTCAGCACAGGCGTTCTCTTCCCAGCCTCCCGCCTCACCTCGGGGTTTTGTTGCCTTTCAGGAGCCAGGAGAAGAAATCTTTGGCTTCCTGCGTGCCCAGGTCCAACCTTTGGCCGCTCGCAGCGGACCCTTGGGGCTCAGCTGCTCTCTTGAACTCCTCGATCATGTTGCTGGAAAGGCGAAACGGGAGGAGATCAAGCGGAGGTGCCACAAGAGGGGGCCCAAATGCTGCTTTTCCACAGCTCCCAGCTCCCTCCCGCTCCCTCTACTAGCGGCGGTCTCGGGCGGGGAGAGGGGTTGGTTGTGCTGTGTGCCCGCAGACCAGAACCATCTCTAGGGCTTGGAAAAATGAAAGCAAAAAGAAACCCAACTCCCTATAGAAGCATCGCTGCAGCCTACGGAATATATCCTCGGCTCCGCATTCTTCTGGAGCCATCCGCTGGCTGACGGCAGCCGCGAGTTTGGCTGGTAGGAGCATTGCAAGTCTGCACTTACTCGCTTTTCTTCTCCCGTCTGGCTAGCAACCACTCCACAAAGTTCTTCTTCAGCATGTTATCCATCGTGCGGCTGTAGTCGCTTGCCAGGGTGGCCTCGGAGTAGCGTCTCTGCAGAGGTCTGGTGCTGGGAGCCCCTACACTGACGCTGGGGTGAGAGCGCAGAGGCAGAGTCAGGCACCGGCCGGGAGTACTCGCTACGGGAGCGCTGCACGCGGTGGCCACGCGGTCCCTGCATCAGCAAGGGTTGGTGATCCCTGCTGGCACAGCGGCTCTCCTGGCACAGGGACTATTCCTGCCCTGGGAAGGGGCTAGCATCCTCCTCATCCATGTTGCTGGGGGCTCCTGCAGTGGCAGCTCAGGTTTGGCAGCCTGGGAGGAGATGAGCTCTAGGGATCTGCCGGTCGCCTGGCGTCGGTGTGGTTTGCCCTGCTGTATGATTCACAGGGAATTTGGCTCTGTGCTGAGGCACCAAGTGGGCTCAGGCTCCTTCCTTCAGGGACCCGCACACTGAGGACCAAGGAAGCCTGTTCCTGTGTCCCCAGGAGGTTCAGGAGTGGATGGCAGGAGACAAGAGCTGACCCTGGGACCAGCACAGACCTGGCAAGTGTCAACATAGGACTATGTGGGACTGCAGCAGCTCCTGCTGCTCTAGCAAGGATTCTTTTGGATCCCCCGGGGTGGTAGTTGGAAATTGCATAGCAGGAGTCAGGGAAAGTCTCTGTTATATCCCTGTTTTATGCAAGTGGTCATATTTTCAGAAGCTTCCAAATACCGGCTGCCCCGAGCCTCACTCATGTGACAGGATTACCTCTTGTTTCTAGTTCTCAGCAACCTTCTTCTCTTCCTGGTTTACTTCCAGCTTGTTCCTCCTAACCTAGAGCCATAAAATTTATAGGGAAAACTTGGGAGTTCCTGGCTCTGCCTCAAAGACTCAGGCCTCTATTTTGGTATCTCTCTTATCATTTGCTTATCTCTGCTTGTCTCTATTATCTGACATCTACCTCAGGACTCATGTTCTCACCTATTTATCAGGATGCCAATGGAAGGAGTCCATTTGCCTCCAGAGAGGAGCTGGAAAAGGCTCAAATACACCACGAGCTTTCCAAAACACTTACCCCGAGACGGTCTCTTCCATCAAAACAAAGCCCAGCGAAGCGAGGAGCAGAGAGAGAACCTTGAAAGACATCATTTTCTCCGCTGGTTTCTCTGTTCAAAAGCAGAGGGGACACAGGGGACAAGTGACAGGATGCTGAACCCGGAGGGACGGGTGGTGCTGGGCACGTGCCTCTGCTTGTAAATGTGTCTCCTCAGCCCCTGTGCTTCAAGCAGCCTTCTCCATCCTACAAAGCCCTCTTCTGCCGTTCCCCGTTAAATTCCTTTTTCAATGCCAGTGCTCTTTCCCACCGTGGTGTCTTTTAATGTTGGTCCCCTATACTTTTATTGTAACCATCAAATTCATTGTGGGTCTCACATTCCTGGAGTCAGGGGCTTTGTCTTCCTCCATGTTTACAAGCTGACCCTGTGGGTACCTCATTGTGCTTTAAGGGTCGATTCAAGCCTGAGTATGTGAACGGGAACGTACACTGGATCAGGCAATTCAGCAGCCATGGCATCCTGCTTATCCCGCGCTGCGGTTCTGCCGGATTTAGGAGCCTGATCTAATGTCTAGGAGGGTTTCTGCTGGGATGGGTAAAGCTTTAGGTAGGGACTGGAGCCAGGGTCGGTGAGTATCAGATGTGAAGAATATCCCATGGACAGCGTCAGGATTGGATTCCAAGATTTATTAGTTTCAAGCTGTTCCTGGTCCTCACATCCACAGTTCAGCTCCGCAGCCCTTGGACATTTGAGCCCTTTTAATTACTATTCCAGCTCTGCAAACTCCATACAGAAATGGTTTTGATCTTGGCTCACAGATCTCTTTTGTTGTTCCTCACCTCACTCTTTGATACAGCTCTTGCTGGAAACAGCATTGCAAGGGAGAGCTGCCGTTAACAGGAATGGTTCAGCAACAAAAAGGGAAGGTCTGCATCAGGACTCAGGTATCCAGCCTTCAAAACTGTATTCATATGTTGATGGAACTTTATTCCTCTCAGCTGTTATTTATACTCTTAAACCAGCCCAATTCTTGTTTTGGACAGACAGAATGTGCACGTTTTGGGTGTTGTTTGGAACTGGGCATTCTTTTCCTTCTGGAAAACTGTGACATCTTTTGCTAATGTTTTCAGCCCTTCCTGTTAAGAGAAAAGCGCTCACTGTGCTCCATTCTCAGCTACAGCAAGTGCTGAGGGGCGCTCTTAAAAGCAAAGGTGTAAGACTGAACGCTGGCAAAGGCTCTTAAAGCCATAAAAGACAAATCATTGCAGAGTGTGTTAACAGCGGAGTAAATCCCACCAGACAAGAAGCTGAGGAGTATTTTAAATGAGAAGGGGATGATTCAATAACTGAGGTTTTCCCCTCTTATTTGCTTTTTGTTTCTTCTCTTGGTGGTAGAACTGTGGGTATAAAGACTCATCTGAAAATAGGGAAGTTGTGCAAGAATACTGTGATGCTGGAAGGTGATTATTGGTGCTGCTGGGAGAGCAGAATTGACCCCAAAAGAGAGGAAAAGCAGAGTGCATTTGCAAAGAATATAGACAAACCATTTTGGGATTTATAGGGGACCCCTTTGCCTGGGTGGCACTGGTCTGGAGCATGGAGTTTGCTGCGATACTTAGGCTGCTTTGATCCTATAATTTGCCTTCTTCACAAAGGCAGATGCAACTGGTGGGATCTTTACAACACAGAAGTCTTCCTGCCCCTGTGCTATCCTGTCTGCATTGGAAGAAGCGTTATCCCTGTTTATCCATAGCTGGGAGGTCCCAAACAGCAACTAAGAACCGATTTCTCCTTATTTCCCTGTGTAGGTGCAGCTCCCAGCCTGCTGCGTGCCGTGGACTGACTATTCCTCTGAAATAACAGCATTTCCCTTCGCAACCCAGCACATCCATTGCTGCAGAACCAAAGGTACGAGCTGCTCCTGCTCTGCTGCTGCCTGACACGCTCAAACACTGTGCACTCCCACAGCTACCTTAGGAAAGAAAACACGTTCAGAAGGGAGAACGACACAGAGCTTCTTACCTTGCTCCGTCTCTGAGGCTGCCCGGAGGATCTCAGCTGGTTCTGGTGCTGAGGAGACCCTTCAGAGCTTTTACATACGTTCGCTGTGCAGGACCAACCCCACTTGCATGAGGTAAACAGGAAATCAAGCACCTAATCTATGTAATTCAAACCCATTTAGAGCTGCTTCATTAAGTCTATTGACCCACAGAGCAGGAAAATAACCTTTTAAAATATGTTGACATTAATGGCAATTAAACATTACTATATCACGAAATCGAGAGCAAATATGGATTGGGTGTAATACATGTGGCATTAGTCTAAACCTTAATTCCATATAGCATCCCCTTTCCATGGTAAAAAAACTCCTTGACTTCTACTTTTTCCTTTGCCAGTGTAAGTGCTATCTCTGAGAGTTCCAACCTGCTCCTCCTTTTCCTTACAGGAGGAATAACTTTGCTAAACTCGATAGCTCCCATCATGGTTATTTGTGTCGCCATCGAGTCTGAGCATCCTGAGCAGCCCCTTGTACAACCCCGCAGACACTGAAAGCAGCATCTGTCCCCCAAAACATGTGCTCCGAGAGGGGAAAACTGGGGACGGAGAGTGGCAGACAGGAAACCAGTAGGAAACAGGGATGCAGGAGGGTGGTGGCACAGCAGCAGCCTGTGTGGGGTGAAGGGCGGCAGCTGGACCTGAGCACCCACTGGGGCTTCTCCTGTCCTGAGTGAGTGATGGAGTGTTTCCCTGCGGCTCTGCAGCTGCTGGGGACGTGGGTCAGTGAGGCCACCTCCTCACCCTGCCCTTGCACAGCTGGATCCAGGAAAGCAGATGTTCTGCAGATGTTAACTGTGCCATCAAAGTGCAAGGGGTAAATCCACTTCCATCAGCTCCGCCGTGACTATGTGCATGGTAAGATACCTCCCTGGTGCCTGAGCTGCCCCGCTTCCCCTGGGTCTCTCTGGGAGAACTGGTTCCATTACATTTTAACACGGAAATCCTGGTCAGGGACCGGGTCTAGGATTCCCATCATAGCCAGCTCCAACCTGAAGGAGCAGAGCAGGATGATGTTGGTGCCTGCCTAGCCGCTAAGCTGAGCTCTGCTCTCAGCACTGCTGGAGCTCAGCAGTGCCCGTGGCTGCGAGGGCAGAGCTCGCTCCCGTCCTTGCTCCCTTCCCTGGAGCGCTCTGAGCTCTGGAGGAGGTTATCCAAGTTACAGCGCTCCCCTCGGGTCCACCAGCCTGGAATTCTTCCCTCTGGAGCTCAGCAGAGCTCCTCAGAGCAGGAACCCCCCCACCTGGCTGTAGGAGGGATGTGTGCGTGTGCATCCTCCCAGGCTTGCGCTGCCCCGGGGATTTGTGTGGTAAGAGCAGGATTTCGGGATGACGGGGCTGAGCAAGAAGCAGCCCTTCGTGGAGCTGCGGTAATCGTGGCACAAGTGAAGTGTCGGTGGTTCCGGCGTGGGAGAGGGTTTCGCCGTGCTGGCGCAGTGCCCTGGTGGATCTTGTCCTGACCACGTGCAGGAATCCGGCGGGATGAGGTTCTCGTCTCCCCGCCAAGGCTCCGTTTGGCACTTCCTTCCCACGGGCGGTGGGGGTTTCTGCCCTTCTGAGTAGTTCTGCAGGGACACGGGCTGCTTTCAACCTGTGTTCTGCACCGGGAGCCTGCAGAGCGCAGGATGAGCCTCATCCAGCTCAGCCCGGCGTGGGCAGGGGTGAGCTCTTGCTGCCCTCTGGTTATACAGCCAGCAAAGAGTGTTGCATCTATATTGCGTTAAGGTAAAGGCTCAGGAGGACATTATTAGTGTCGATTAAGAGTTTGGGGCTATTAGGGAGCAATTACTACTTTCACAGGAACTATTTAACATGGGGCTTAGTCCCTTAGCTAGCAGCACATGAGCATGCCAGGGTCTCCTCAAGCTTTTCCCCCATGCAGGAAAGTCGTGCCTGCTGTAATAAATGATGCACTATAATAGTTATATTATAGGAACCAATTTACACTCCTAGCACAGTTGCTAATCAATAAAATGGAATAGTTTATCCCCACGTCTTTATTATATGTATTCTGGGTGCTTTGCTCCCAGCCAACTCAGATATCTTGTTTCTCCGAAGTGCAACCTATTTGTTTTCCTCTCATTAAGTGCCTCTGTAGGATATAAAGTTAATAGAGTGAAATAAATATCCAGCAACATTAAATGCTGACCCAGGGTTCACAGTTACGGTTATTTCAGGGCATGTGCTCACGGTGTGGTTTGGACAACAGCATCACTCCAGGATTTCAAACACCCCCCCTCCAGATGCCAGGTCAGGTCTGGGAAGCGGTGGGAGAGATGCTGACCTGGAGAAGGGCCCCAAACCCACATCTGCTTCCTCCAGGGTAATGGGAGGTCTAATTAATGAGGCAAACCTTGCTCCCCTCCAGCCTCAGCCCATCACAGCTATGGCAGCACCACCCTCACGGCGTTATCTGTGCTCTGCTCTGATAACACAAATCATTTCACAAGCTCCAGCTGGGTCCCTGCTTGGGGCAGGGGAGCCTTGAGCTTAGGTTTCACCCGGCCACCATCAGACAAGTTGAACAGGGGAGCCAGGGCTGCCCTGCTTCCTCCTGCCCTGCCGGAGCGAGCTCTGCTCTTCGCAGCAGACCTGACTCGAGGAGTTGGTGTTTCAGGAATTCGGGAATGCGTTGGGAAGGTCACAGCTGCGTGGCTGAAACGCTTCTGCTCTGCTTTGAGACACCGAAACATCTCAAGGGCAACTCTGATTACCAAGCATTTCGGGTATTGGATGTCCCTGTAATCACGGAAAATAGGGCTTGAAGTGACCTTAAGAGGTCACCCATTCCTTCCCCTGCTCCCAGACAGCCTCAGCTCTGCTCAGCTCACTCTGATCCATTCCCAAAAGCTTTTGGAAATGAAAAGGCTGCAAACTCCCCAGTGCATTTCTTGGTCTCGCTCTGACCTCTCGCCTCCAATGGCACCGCTCCCACCTCTCTCCTCTTCCCCGTGAATGGGGTGAGTAAGGGTTCCCCTGTCCCACTGGAGCAGGGCTCTTTGGTTGCTGCTTTGCGTGGCACAGCTCAGGGCACCTCAACTCTGCCAGAGACGGTTCAGGTGTTGCATGTCCCAGGTGAATACAGCACTTTCTGCTCCGGTTTGGGTGCAGGCATCGGGCTGGTCCGAGGTTCCCGACTGTAACTGGCCATGATGCATCAGTGTTAGGATTTACTCTGCTCCTCAAAGCCCAGGGAGAGAGGAAGGAGGGATTGGGAAGCTTTTCACTCCCATCCTCTCCCTGAAATCACGGGCACTGGAGCATCATTCAAACCCTGGTCCTGATCTGGGGCTCATTCTGAAGGCACAGAACCTCAAAGCTTCCCTTGGGAGCTCATTTCTCTCCCTACACCATCAGCAGTGCTCGCAGAGGAGCGTGGAGTGCTCTCGAGTGCAGGAGTGATGGGCTGGGTGGATTTACAGAGCATCTTCGGAGCACCAAGCACTGCTTCATCCTCTCTTGTACGTCCAGACCTGTTTCCCCCTCCAGTGCTGGTGGGAATGGAACAGGTGTTTTCACAATGGCAAAGTACCAGGTACGTGCTTAAATGCCAACACTCCCTTCTAACAGCAACCAAGCCATAGGGCCTTTTAAGGCTCCGGTGCTTGTTCTTGATGAATTCATTCAGCTCATTGGGTGGCTCTTGGAGCTTCCTGCTCACGAGTTCTTTAGGTGGCAAAAAAACCCCACAACAACGAAAAAATGGGAACCGCAAAGCATGGGGAACATGGATTTCTCCTTGCTGCCTGCTCTGCTTGTTCCTGAGATGCTCCTCTGAACCCCCAGGAGCAGGGACCTACAGGACAGTAACTGCTGTAGCACAAAGCCCACCACAGCATCCACGTGGGGATGATTTACTGGGACCACTGAGCTGCACGACCACAACTTTTCCCTCTGGGCAGTGACAGCATCACTGCCTGTGGAAGCTGCAGAGATGATCTGGACTCGCTCTAGCATCAAACCTGCCTGTTTTGATGACACCTCCTCCATCCACCCCTTAGCACTCTGCCTGGTGGCAGCTGTCCTGATGTGAAACACATCCTTTATTCTCCCCGTTGAGCAGAGATGGAGCCAGAAGCAACCAGCTGGGGAGATGAGAGCGGTGGAGCTGCAGGGAAGGAGAGGGAATAATCAGTCCTGCTCCATCCCGAGCGGGTACCAGCAGGACAAGAAACCAGAGAGCCCAGCCCACGGCAAGGTGCCTGCCCAAGTGGCTGGGTCAGTGACGTGGGATTAGCTCTACCTCGTGCCCTTGCTGCTCTCCTAACATCACCCTCCTGGCAGCCCGGCGGTGGGGCTTGCCTCTAGGTTGCCACTGTGAAATGACCTCTGTGTTTTCAGGTGACCCACGGCACAAAGCGGTGCTGGGCACTCTCCCACCTCCTGGGCTACGCTTGTTTTGGGTAGACAGAATGAGGCAAGGCTGAGCCTTTCGTTACCTCGTGCTGCAGGGATGAGATGCGGTGAGGGCTGGAGAGACCCTGCTCTTCGTGGGGGTTGAAATGTTATAGGGCCCCTGAATTTGTGCTCGTGGAGCATAAATTCTGCTCCAAATGCGTTTATTTCGGACAGGGGGAAACGTGCTACAAATACCTACAGTTACGGCCAGGAAAATGGCTCATCTGTGCCTCGGAGGGCTGCAGATGTGTGGAGGGGGGCTCAAAAGAGCAGCTCCCGCTTGAAATAAGGTCAGGGGGAGTTCAGCGATGGCAGGATTCATCCCCCACGATGTGTCCTCAACAAGCAGCTTGGTTGAGTTCGTGGTTGTACCAAGAGCAGAGCTTTCTCCCACTACCCATAGGAGAAATGGCTGCTCCCACTGGGTTTTGTGATGCATTAGAACTAAATGGACAGGTTAGAAAGGTCTGCTCTAACGAGGTGGTGGCACATTCATTTTGGGAGGAAAAACTGGGAAATGAAAAGGATTATCTGAACAACCACATTTCAGAGCTCATCCTGGGAAGCATTTCCCTTGCCTCGGATTTAGAGTTTACCCCTTCCCCAAAAGGAGAGCAACCCCCAAATGAACCATTGCCATCGTGTATGGGGGGGACGAATCCATGCAAAGCACCTTCGTGGGGGTGCAATCTGAACATTCCTCTCTGTGCTGGCGAAGCCCAAAGGAGAAAGCAGGACCTGGGAAGTGCCCCCAGCCCCACGTGGAGCCCTGGAGGGAGCCCAGAGGCTGCAAAGCAGCAGATGTAGAGGGGAAGCAAAAAGCTGCTTGGTTGTGGG